GGTTATGTGGCTGTGTGTGTGTTAGCACATGGGGTTGTGTGGCTGTGTGTGTGCTAGTGCATGGGGTTGTGTGGCTGTGTGTGTGCTGGTGCATGGGGTTGTGTGGCTGTGTGTGTGCTGGTGCATGGGGTTGTGTGGCTGTGTGTGCTATTGCATGGGGTTGTGTGGCTGTGTATGCTATTGCATGGGGTTGTGTGGCTGTGTGTGCTATTGCATGGGGTTGTGTGGCTGTGTGTGCTATTGCATGGGGTTGTGTGGCTGTGTGTGCTATTGCATGGGGTTGTGTGGCTGTGTGTGCTATTGCATGGGGTTGTGTGGCTGTGTGTGTGCTGGTGCATGGGGTTGTGTGGCTGTGTGTGCTATTGCATGGGGTTGTGTGGCTGTGTGTGTGCTGGTGCATGGGGTTGTGTGGCTGTGTGTGTGCTATTGCATAGGGTTGTGTGGCTGTGTGTGTGCTATTGCATGGGGTTGTGTGGCTGTGTGCTCGTGCGTGGAGCAGTGTGCACGCGCGTTCTAGAATGGAGGCTGGCAGAGTTCTTTGTATGACTGCGGGCACACCCAGCCCCACCACCCCCACATCAGTGGCGGCGGCGGCTGCTGCTGCATGCGAGTGAGTGAGTGGGGAGCGATGGCCGGGGCTGGGATTAGGCCCAGGAACACACGGAACGAGCCTCTTGACAGCTCCTGGCTCCTCGCCCAGTCTTCCCAGAGCCTGGACAGTGTAACTTACCCAATGATTTCACACACACGCAGAGACGGGCTATTGCCCTTCACTGTACGCTGCCGTGTGTCGATGGCGAGCGACGAACGCGCGTTCGGCCAAAGGTGGTGAGAGAGAGCGAGAGAGGCCAAACTGCCCTGGCTGGCAAAACGGATTGAGTTTGGCAATTGCAGGTTTTAGTAAGGCATTAACAACGCGCGTTCTCTCTCGCGCGCCTTCGTTGCCGGTCGAAGGCCTCACACCCCCCCCCCCCCTTTTTGTTAGTGAAAGCCACCAAAAACAGAACGAGTTTATATGGGGTAGGCTGGGTCGAGGTGTGGTGTGTGTGTCGTGCGTGACATTGGCTTCCTGCCAAGTGTAGGGAATGCACGTGGCTGTGGGTGTGGGTACGTGGGGAGCGGTGGCGCGGCGGTTAGCGGCACTGTGCTGTGAACCTGGCGACCCCGAGTTCGATTCCCGCCCACGGTTAAGAGGCAGTGATGGATATCTGAGACGGTTCCGCGTCCTTCCCCTAGGTCGACACGGCCTCGAATGAGAATCTGGTGCGGTGCGTAAACATCCTACACCCGCCGTGTGCCCGTGCCGGCCTTCAGGGGTATTCCACTAACGGCACATGCCCCCAACATTCTGTTCAGGTCGCACTGCACAGCGGATCTTTTGCCTGCGCGCATGTGCGTTACATTCTTTTCATTTGCGCTTCTCGAGGTGGTGATGGTTCGCACACCTGCGCTGCACGAACCCGGTGACCTGCGTTTGATTTCTGGCCATGGCTAACGGCAGTGGCTTCAGAGCGATGATCTGAATCAGTCCACGGTTTGACCACGGCCCACGGATTCCACCCAACGCACCGCTTTCGTCCAGCTTGGCGAAAGTATGGTCAAACAATCCCCGTGAGGAAAACGCTCGTTTGATGGCTTTCAATGTTACGGCGCGATAGCACGTCATTTTTCCAGCAGTGTTATTGATAATGGGGCGCAAATGATCTGGAATGAGTGGTTCTTTACGATCTTCACCCGTAGCTCACGATCACTCCCAAGCGAAGTTTCGTGTGACTCCGCGAACCATTACAAACGGGTCTCTGTGCTTACAATTCCTGCACACCTGTACAGCGTGGCTGATGGGATGTGTACACAAAAATACTTTGTTTTTTTTTTCATTTGGAAGGATAGGTGTGGGAAGGAGACGGCATTGTCTGCTTATTTATTGTGTTACCTATATTCTCCACGACGCTAATTATTATTTTGTGTTGTGTATGATGCAGTTTTGTGTCAAAATAGAACCCCCATCTAGAGAGAGAGGGCCCTTACCCATAAACATCTGGGCAGTTCACCAGCATTGGTTCAAGCAAGTCTGACCACTGATGAGACACTGAATGTCAAACCCAGTCCAGAAAAGTTCTGCAGTTGCACTCCCAGAAGGCCGTGTGACTGATGGGACGTGTTAAAACATACATGTTATATGTGGTGAGACATATGTTATATGTGGTGAGAGGAGGCGTATTGTCTGCGTGTTGATGTTGTCACTGCCTGCCAAGTTGGTCGAGGTCGATGCATGAACTTCGCCTGGCACAAGCGTCGCGGTGACGTCAGCGCCACTTAGTGGTAGACGGAGGTTGCTGGCGTTATTGTTATTGTCGGTGCACAACGCTGTGCTTGCTGTCAAACAAAACGCATTTTTTTCCTTCCTGTGTTGATCAAAGACAACGCCGGGCAGGGAGGGAGGGACTGCCTGCGCCCTGTTCAGCCTCGTTCCTGGCCCCGCCAAAACAAAGCAGGGTGACCTTACAGTGTGAGCCGCTGCAAGTAAGCGGTTTCACATGGGGCTCACCAGACCCCTCCACTCCCCAGAGATATTCGCTTACTTGGCTGCGTGTTAATGGCTGCCGCACTTAACCACCCTGACAACTCGCCGGTCCAGTTACTGCCTGATGCTGCTGCTGCTTTCAGAGAGTTTTCACCGCAGAGATTTTCAGCTTTCCCGAAGCCAGCGCAGCGCGTCCACCGAGACCGCAAAGTCTACAGAAATGTTCGGAGGACATCGTGGCACCTGAGCTGTTGTCCAGGTTATTAGTCACGGTGTTTGCCCAGTAACCGGCAGAGCGAGCAGCGCGTTTCCAATCGGCGTTGGGAGATCCGCTCCAGGGTTACTAACACGAGTAAAACTTTGTGGGGGACTCTAAAGATTTAACTAAACTAATTTTTTAATTAACAGGTAAGGCCCACTGAGCTATATGGCTTTATTTCAGGAGCTACATGGCCACAAATGATAGCTCACAAAGTGGCTTATCGTGTGGAAATTTATAGCAGCCAAATACTCCAAACGCAAGTTTCTGAATGTGGATGGAAAAACTGGGGCCTCGGAGAAGAATGCACGCAACCACGGGGAGAGAGACACGCAAACTCCAAATACACGAGCATCAGAGTTGATATCAAACCCACGACATCTTGTATACCAGTCAAGGTAGTTAACATCTCGCCACAAACAGTAGTTATCCCGTGGATTGACTCGCTCCCATCATAGGAATGTAAAATGTACACCACTGGCTCAGGATCGTAAATCGGAGATGAGCACCACTGCCACAATGCACATTTGAGTAGAAAATCGCTTTGGCGCTGGAAATGTGTGTTTACCCAGGGTAGATTCACCGAGCCTCGAGACTCTTTTTTGCTTTAAATTTGCGGCCGAGGGCAACGCGTTTCCAGTCAAGTAACTTACTGATTGCGAGTCATTTTTTTTAATGTGGAAATTGTTGACAGCGCGACGCTGGCATACGCTGAACGGCCTATTCTCTCCACTCCAATTGACGCCACGGGATCTTCAGTGTCCACTGTGAAGCAGCCGGCGGTGGCGGCGTGTTTACGCTGAGCACACAGCCAGGGTGGGCCCCGCTGAATTCGAACCCTGAGCCTCTGCAATAAAAAAAAAGAGTTAAGAATGGGCAACAGTAAGATTCGCGTTGACGAACCCCAATCTCATATATACATACACCCCACACTGCACCCAAAACTAGATCTAAATCCCTCACCGTAGCTTAACTAATAACCAAAGTTTTTACAATTATGTGACCATTATCCACATCCTTGCTTGGCACACCACCAAACTCTCATTTCTCATGCCACACATTGCTTCACCACCAAACTCTAGTTTATCATGCCACACATTGCTTCTGACATCAAACCGATGGCCTCACACATTGGGACAGCTCTCTTGCCCTTAACCTCTATTTGGGGAAATTAGTCTTGTTGACTTCTGGATTGAGTGGTAAAGATCTGGGCAGAAGTGCCGTGTGGCTGATGAGATGTGTAAAACTAAAAAAAACATTTTGTACGTGGAGAGAGATATGAGGAGGAGGCATCAGCCTATTCTTCATTTGTATGGCGTTTGAACAAAAAAACAACAGGGCTACAAGTTGTATGTTTAACCTTATAAGCCAATCTATGGCATCTGAGGGTGGTAGCTGAGTGGAGTTGTCCACTTGTATTGGGGTAGCCGAGTGGACTAGTCCTCTTATTGTATTTGGGTAGCTGAGTGGACTAGTCTGCTTGTTGTATTGGAGCAGTCATCAGCGATGTGCGCCTGATGGATCGTCTATGCAGTGTGGTGGAGTCCCTGATCGTTAACATTCATGGTGGAAATTTCCACACATTATTTTCCATTCACGTGGTGGTGACGTGTGACGGTGTTTGGGATGCGGTGGTCCTGGTGGTGTGGTGGTGGTTGTTACGCAGTGGTGGTGGTAGTGTGGCGGTGGTTGGGATGCGGTGGTGGTGGCGGTGTGGCGGCTGTTGGGATGCGGTAGTGTGACGGTGGTTGGTACACAGTTCGGTGATGGTGTGACAGTGGTTGGGACGCGGTGGTGATTGTTAGGACACGGTGGTGGTGTGGCGGTAGTTGGTACGCAGTTCGGTGATGGTGTGACGGTGGTTGGGACGCGGTTCGGTGGTGGTGGTGATGATGTGACGGTGGTTGGGACACGGTGGTGCTGGTGTGATGGTGGTTGAGACACAGTGGTGGTGTGGCGGTGGTTGGGACGCGGTGGTGGTGTGGTGGTGGTTGAGACGCGGTGGTGGTGGTTGAGTCACGCTGGTGATGGTGTGGTGGTGGTGATGGTGTGGTGGTGGTGTGACGGTGGTTGGGACGCCGCGGTTGTTGAGAGCGGTCCCCCACTGCCGTCAAGGCAGCAGAGAGGAACCGGTGCTGTTCCTGCGTGGGGCCTTCGGTGCGGTTTTTGTTTCAGGACGCCACTTCCCCCCCCCCCCCCCCCCGTGTCCCGCGCCGTTGGGTGGCGCTGGGGGTCATTCTCGGCCGACAGCGGAGTCGAGGCGTAGTGTCATTTATTCATTATTTATTTTCCCATCTCGAATCTTTTGCGATATCACGTTGACACTGATGTAACGTTACTCGGATCGGGAGGTTGCCTATGGGGCAGTAGTATTGGACTTGCAGTAATCACATGTGGAATGCGCACAATTGAATCAATCGCATAGGGTTACAGGGCTGCACGGGAAGGCAGTTCCGGTGCACATTCCATGCCCTGTGCACACAAAATCCTCTCCGTCTCTGCAGCCGTTACAGAAACTGTAGCCGCCTCTTAAGGGGGAAGGGGGGGGCGTACAGTCCATCTACAATTATCTAAAACTACAATACAAATAATTAACAAAATTCACGAGCGGATAATATGCCTTCCTCACGTATCTGCCCCTCAACGTAAAAAAAAAAGTATTTATATTTTTTTGCACAACCCGTTGGCCACATGGACATTCTGGGAAGGGCGCATCACAATCGTGGTGCCGGTTTAACACAAGCATAACTTTGGACCGGTTTAGAGATTCCAGTGTCTCATTGGCAGAGTTCTTCATGCGACACTGCTGCACTCACAGATGTTTACAGGCGAGGACCCTCTTTCTGTTAGACATGGGACTTAGAATTACATAATAGGTAACACAAAGTAAGCAGCGCTGTTGGGGACAATATAAAGAATACAATAATAAGCCTAATTCTTCACCACAACCTCTTTTGCAATTGCCAATCTACAGCAACAGCTCCTCACCATTAATTCCCATCACTATTATGTAACTGTCCTGGCCATCTCAATATCAGGCACTCCTCTATGCCTAGCATCTCAATGCTATTCTATTCTTGCATAGGGCAGCACTATGTTACAGGAGCTGAATGCCAATGGCGAGTTCTGCAAGCCACATGAAGAGGGCTTCGGGAGAGAGAGTTCGTGCAGTTATGGTTTTCCTCATCCATTGAAAGAGCGTAAACCACAGTGGTTTATGATACATAATTTGGACTGCATGGCCACAATCGCACACCTGTCACTTGTCTTTAATGTATCGACAAGTATCACTATGAGTCTCTATGTATCTACGTGTCTCTATGGGTTTACTCTATTGTTCATAGTTTGGGTTGCATGGGCACAATCGCACGACTGTGGCTTGTGTCTTTAATTTTCCATTCATGAGGGATGTTTTGATGCGGTTGCTCTTACAATGCACGTCACACACGTAAATACGATGCTTGTTAAACGATAACCGGTAATCTGCTGATCGCTCTCAGAACCGGTTACCAGTCCCGAAAGTCAGGAACCAATAAACATTTCCAGTCGAATTTCAGTATCAAACACACCCATTGGCCACTCGCGAACGAACAATCCGCACGATGGCCCAAGTCACCGAGTGGTTGATTTTCCCTCACATCTCAGTACTAAGGTAAAGGGGCCGCCCTGCACTTGCTCGCTCGTGCCACGGCTGGCAGAAGGCCCTCCACGAGAGTGGGCTCTACAAAAGGTATCTGGGCTTCTCTTCCACGCTGGAGCGGTGACACAGCCCAGCAGTAGCGGAGGTTCATGGTTAAAATTCTGCGGCCGCCTTGGGTAATACTGCAACCCGGTAACCATAAATAGTTTGGATCCCCTGACGTCATTCAAAAAGAGTAGGCCCTTATGTGGCAGCGTCAGGATTCATATTTTTCAAATGCAAAAAAAATATCAGAAAATGTCTCAATTGAGATTACGCACAGCAACAATCATCACCCTCTACTGGCAGACCAATGCCCACTTGCAGGCCAGGTGCTGAGTCACTTTGTGCCACACAGGAGCAGTTGCTACTGGGTGTACCCTTTGAAATTTGTTAAAATGAGGTGTAATGTAAGTCATCGATCGTGTGTAAATCCCTCTGAGACGCCCCGGCGTAAAGGAGGGTGTCTCAATTAAAAGCGAATTGTTGTTTTCACAGATGTATCACGAGCATGTTGCTTTATTGTAAAGTAAAATATTTTGCCTGGATAGTCCCTTTAGATAGAGCATCTCATTTTTAAGGGTGTTCAGGGCGTAAAGTGACACATACGTAGCAAACACGTGATGACGTGCGTGTTTATGATCCAACACTCATTGATTCACACAAGTCACTCATTCACCGGCGGTCAGTCCCCTGCGTATCACTCTTCTGTCCCTACCCCTATGGTTACTGTTCTAATGAACTTCCATAATGGATTTCTCCGCCCATGTTGAGGACTCGGTCCACCAGACACCGACTATCAGTGTTCAGCCACCACATTGCAGGTCACAAAAAGACAATAATTCATTCACCCACTCTGCCACCACACTGCAGATCACAACACTTTCTACTCCTTGCCTCTCACTACTCCTCATTTGAGCAGGAAATCCACTTTGATTTAAGACTCTCGGCGCGAGTCAGCGTGAATACCGTGTATGTGCACGTGTCCTTTCAGAAAAAGTTTGGCATACAAACCACGGAGCTCGTGCTGCACGGGCTGAAGCCGGGAGAGCGATACTACATTCGCGTGCGCTGCCGGGCCACCAGCTCCCCGTTCTGGAGCCCGTGGAGCGCCGAGGTTGAAATTCAGCCGCCCATCGGCATAAACCAAGGTGTGTCACTCATGCCAGGTATGTGGCAATGCACGGGTGTGAGCGGTGTGAGCGCTGGGCTGTCTGGCTGTGCCAGTGCAGATTCTGTGTTGTGGGTTATTGACCTTGCTGTATTTTTTTCGGAATTGGATACGCTGGCTTCCAATTTGAATCCAGCAGGCTGCCCTGGCTAATACTGTGGACGTGTTAATTATAACCCTGCTGCGTCCATATGCTTCACTGTCAGTGGGACGTTAAAAATCCCGTGACGTCATATAGGCCGCATGGTCAAATTTAGAAAATTTCTTATGCAAATTATGTTTGGAAAACGCACCTAGCAATTGTCCCCCTACTGGGAAAACCTAGCAGGTGAATTATATCGGGATCGATAGTGTTGGTGTGGTTAATGTACTGTGCTTCCAACCCGATGAGCCCAGTTCGATTCCCGCTCGCAGCCAACATCGGTGATGGTTATCTCAACTGGTCCTGGGCTTCCCCTAGGTTGACTGAGCCTCAAATGAGTACCTGGTGCAGAGTGTAAACAACAGCCGCTAACAGCATTTGCCCCAACAGTCTGTTGAAGGCTACACGGCAGACCTTTGTCTTTGGCTGTGACTAAGAGATGGCCGGTTAGCTCAAGGTGTCAACGATTGAACAAGACAACCACCATACTCAGTTTTGTCTTTCACTTAATTAGATTAAATTCCTGCTCTGATACACATGAACATCGGTTCAAATGTCACGTGTTGATCTCACAGTGAATAGGAATTGTTCGACCCCCGCCCCCACCCCATATCGTGGGAAATGTTTTTTTTTAAGGCCACTTGATGGCTATACCGTGGAAAAAATTCTCATTAAATTTTCCACGGTTGTTTTCTGATACATGGGAGCATTGCAAGAGTATTTAATTTGTTCTTCACCTCATGGTGAATTATCATCGCCCTTGGTTACCCAGAACAGCCTCGTTGAGCCTCAAGACTCTTTTTCGGGAGGGTCATGCTAGGTTTTCGCAGCAAGGGAGCAACAATTGCTGCTACGTGTGTTACCAATTGAGTTAATTGCGGTGGCCTACTTTGCTTGGAATGACGTCGCGGGATCTTGAGCATCCACTGTGAAGCGGACGGCTCGTAGTGTTTGTCATCAATACGTACACCGCCGTGACACAGAAAACACATCGTACTGTGTTGTGGTGTGGGTACAAATTCAAATGTAAAAGAGCATTTGATCCTACAGTCTATAAGGCTAATCGGGTGATCTCGTGCATGTGTGTGTGCACCAATGTCTGCAGTGGCGCAGTGGGCTGTTGGCGTGACACTGCTGGCTGCCGTAATGGGTGCTATGGTGACGCTGCTGTTCCTTGTCACCCTGATCGGCACCCGCAAAAGGTAGTAGAGGCAGTGCCACTTCTGGTCCTGCGTCGGCCGGTGTGTCAGACTTGCAGGGCCGACCTATCTCGCACGGTGTATTTGTACGAATGTTAACACCATCAGAGTTGACGTTGACATTAACAAACGTTGCCATCATCAGCCACGATCGGTCTCCTGCTGGATGAAGGCCTCCCGAAGCCGCCACCACCACCCGTCGTGCAATGGTATCCAGAATGCCAGGGATAGGCTCCACATCTCTTAATTTTCCACTGAATCCCAAAAACCTATTATGCCATAGAACATTCACACACTGGCCTCAAGCAGCAAGCACTTTGGACAAAGCTTGTGCTCCAAAACCAGCAGGATTTGGTCACTCGACTTCCCAGAGCACAGTCAAAGCGCCCGCACACTTAAATGCTTTTGTCGCTCCTTCTCCTAGGTGGAAGTCCTCTAGGGCGCGGTCGCTTCTTTGTTAGCACTTCATCAACAGTCTCGACCACCGGCCCAAATCCCTTCGAACCGTTCCAAGCCTTGCCCAGGCACCACTTAGTTTTCCTTTAGGCAATACGATGCCTCTTACCTGCGTGTGTTTTATAATCCACGTGTTCCTCCTGCTTCCGTCTCGGTGTCAATTCCAAGGGTGCACCCCTCCACGTTCCTTGTCTGTGTCAATGTGTGTTGTTTCTGAATCGTGAGTCATAGCAGGTAACATACACCAATTCACGTTCACAAGTGTAATTTCCAAATGATGTAGCCCTTATCACGAACGCAACTAAGTATGGGCACAAAATCTACACGAATGTGTTGTACAAGAAACAATATATTAACCAAAAAACCCTCTGCTATGGATAATATATTAGGTGGCCAGTGTGTCCGTGCCTCGTTGTGGTTTCTGTTGAACCGCATCCGTGTGATACTACTAAGAGTGTACTGACACATCCTCCATGTGACCCCGGCGATTCTTATTAATTGCAGGATCAAGAGAGTCTTTCTGCCGCCAGTGCCAGGACCACGCATCACAGGGATGGATCATGACCTGCTGAAGGTGGCTGCTGGGCTATAATATACCAACGGAGCAAAGGAGCCTGTCTCATAAGCAAACGAAATCATTAAGCAGACGATAGGCCTTCCTTCCTGTGTATTTCCCTCCACGTAAAAAAATATTAACTGTTTCTTTTTACCCATCCCATCAGCCACACGTGGCTATATGGGAGTACATCATTTCAGCAGTATTGGTTCAAAACAAGCAAACTTTTGACCAGTTTCAACATTCAGTGTCTCAACAGTAGTTTGGTTTTACTATTATTTGGGTCTTTCGGTAGAGCCACGTAGATAGGTTAAAAGAAAATAACAATATAACAAAAAACTACGACATTTCGATGGCAACACAATCGGTCGTCATCAGGAAAAGGGGGGTTAGCTTCTAAAGACAACTACAGTGGTTCCTCGGTATACGTCATTCATTCGTTCCAGAAGGTAGGATTTATACCGAAAATGACGAATACCAAACGAATTTTTCCCATAATAAATAAAGGGAAAGGAAATAATCCGTTCCAGAGTATAAGAAATGATATTTTATATGGCATATTATACATTAATGGGGTTGTATAACATAATGTAGACACTACTTATTACTAAAATGCATATATAAATTAAAATAAATGAATAAAGAAATAAAAATACATTTAAATAAAAATAAAATTTAACGTCACTTTACCTTGCTGAGAGGAGTTGAAACACGTGAAAATTCAGAGTTATAGCAAGGGTTCTGCATTGAACGAGATCTACTGTACAGGCAGGCTGAGGAGCGGCGCTTTGTTTCAGTCGTAAACGGGGTCTACACGGGTACGCGGTGTATCCCAAGCAAGACGTCGTATCCAAAGACATTTTTTTCTCATTAAAACACGACGTATACCAAATTCGACGTATTCCGAAGCGGTCGTATACCGAGGTATGACTGTACTTATAAAGGTTTGAAATGGGCATAGCCCAAATGTTAGCAGCCAATGCCAATGCAAGTGGTGGGCCGCGACCGCGGCGGTGGTGGGCTTTCCACCAATCAAAGGGCTGTAGGCAAAAATTATCATGTCAATGCAAGATCGCCAGGCATCCTTCACAGCGAGTGTGCCTAGGTGGCTATGTTCATATAAGAGATTAGTATGTTAATGGAAGATCGTGAAGCAGAAGCCTCGAGGATGGCACACGAGGTAGCTGTGTTAGTGAGAAATTTAATCTGTTAATGTAAAAAATCATAGAGACGAAAATAACAGCTAACATCGGAAGGTGGTAGGCTGGGAACATCACTGCCAGTTATGACTTAAACTGGTTAATAACGTCCTTCCAATGATTGCTCAGTTTGTACCCATCTTCTCGGCCCACCACTTGCATTGGCATTGGCTGCTGATATTTGGGCTACGCCCATTTCAAACCTTTATACACAGTTGTCTTTAGAAGCTAACCCCCCTTTTCCTGATGACGACCGCTTGTGTTGCGATCGAAACGTCGTAGTTTTTTATTATTTTGTTATTTTCTTTGAACCTATCTATGTGACTTTACCGAAAGACCCAAATAATATGAATTCCTGCAGTCACGAAAGCTTTAAGTCAAGATTTAGTAGTTTGGTTTGCTTAAACAATTGGTTCAACGCAGGCAAAACTGTTTTTTTTATTAAACTAGATTGGATTGTTATCATAACCTGGCAAGCAGTTATACAATCTGAGCAGTACTGTTGACTATTATCTTGCTTTGTTGAGTTTTTGTTTAACGCAGTTGCTGAGCATAGGTCCAAAACGTCAAGCAGCCGAGTAGCAAACAATACTCTCAGAATTGTAATAGAAAAGTGTAACACGTTTTTTTTTATTGAATAGTGCTATTATTCCTCGTGAAACAAGGAGATGGGAGGGAATTACAAAGTGCTTCAGTGCGAGGAAATAAGCAGAAAGAGAAGTGTTGTGGCCTGCAGTGTGGTGGGGGAGACTGTACATGCGTGAGTAGGTGAGTGAGTGGGTGTATCGTTGTAATTGGGGAGCAATAGTGTAGCGGTTAGCGCGCTGCGCTATGAACCCGGCGACACGTGTTCGATTCCCGCTCACGGCCAACACCAGTGACGATTATCTGAACTGGTCCCGGGCCTCCCCTAGGTCGACTCAGCCTCAAATGAGTGTCTGGTGTGATGTGTAAACATCGCCACTAGGGAGACAAAGGCGGTCGGGCGTGGTGCTGGCCACCCACCCCCTCGTGTTCCGGCCTTCATAGTTGCTCGCTAACAGCACTTGCCCCTACAGTCTGTTAAGGCTATATGGGGGATCTTTATCTTTGTATCGTTGTAACCTGCACGCGGTTGAGCGGGTGGGTTAGTGAGTGGGTGAGTGAGTAGGTGACAGATGAGTAGATGAGTGGGTTACGGAACCTCCTGCCAGTGAACCTTCGACAATTCACGTGGGCTTAAAGTGCACATAGCCGGGCAAAAGCATCGTGGTGACGTCACCACCGCTTAGTGACGAATGGTGGTTGTTGTTTGATTACCGAGTGGGTGAGTGTGTGTGTCGTGGTGACTTGCAGTGTGGTGGTTGAGTGGTTGGGTGTGAGAGAGTAAGTGGGTGAGAGGGCGTGTGGGTGAGTAGATGAGTGGGTGTGTGTGTTGTGACCTGCAATGTGGTGGTTAAGTGGTTTGGTGTGAGAGAATGAGTGGGTGTGCAGATGAGTAGATGGGCAGAGGTGTGTTTCATTACCTGCAGTATGTTGGTGGTTGGGCTGCCCATGTTTACGTGTTTGTAATGTTCGTGCAGAAAACTCCGCCGGAGGAGCTGCACGGGATCTTCGCGCTGTTCCACAGCTACACGCCTGCGCGCTGCGAGGACACCGACTCGTGGGCAGAGTGCGTCGAGGTGGGGCTGGAAGGGACCAGGGAGAGCAGAGGCCATGACGCCAATGGGGAGTGCGGGACCGGAGAGGGTGGAAGACTCCTGGGAAAAGCAAGGCGTGTTGGAGGAGGTGAGGAGAGCGAGGAGGACGAGGAGGATGAGGAGGCGCTAGACTCTGGACATGAAAGTTCTGCGAGCGCGGATGGGAGAAAGGGAGTGGGCAGCTTGCCGAGTAGACTGGGCTTGGACTCAATGCTCTTGCTGAGGGTCAAGGCCACTGCATTCACTGCCGTGCAGGTGAAGGGTCCTTCGCAGGAGAAGACGAAGCATGCGGATGTGTCCAGTGAGCAGGTTTCAGGGACAGACTTCACCCGAGAGCTGGGTGCTGGAGAGAACCCCAGGTTTGTGTCACCTCCTCAGCAAGGCCCATCGGGCCACTGCGGGTTCGGAGCCGTGGCCGTCTGCAGCGCGGACAGGTCGGCCGTGGGTCGATGTACAGATCCGAGTGGGAAAAATGCGAACGAGCCCGTCGGCATGAGGTCGGGACTGCTGGACGTGTACGCGCACGTGACCGACATCAAGGCCGATGGCAGCATCCTACTCCAAAAGACGGCGAGTGAGCCGCCGGTGCCCTCTGGGAAGGGTTCACCGGAAGAACATGGACCCATGGCCCCAGCCTTCTCCTCGGCCTCTGCCCTCTTGCCGTACGTGCAAATCCCTCTGCACTCCGAAGCAGCGGCGGCGGCGGCTGCCGATCCAGGAAACTCGGCCGACGAGCAACGGGTCGCCCAGGAGATGCCGTCCATTCCGTTGCGTTACGACACGGCCTGCAATCCACACTCAGCCAACACGAGCAGAGGAAGCCCTCTCATGGGTGGATATGTGTCCTCAGAGCAACTGGGTGTGTTTCAAAGCCAGCCAATGGGATTGCACGGTTAAAGTGTCCAGGCGTTTGCAACACTACATTGGATCCATATGATGTCATTAAAGTTGGCTTGCACAGAACCCAGGGCTCTACGCGCTTGGGCCGGCAGAGAGGTTGTGACGTGCCACCGAAATGTTATTTTTCCTCGGGGAGTGGGGGGGGAAAGTGAATATTTTTGCACAGCGCTCCAGTCTTCCCAACAACATGGGTTCTTCTCAAAGCAGAGACGGTCGGCATTTTGCAGTCCACACCAGTGCCCCCCCGTGTACCATCTGGCGCAGTGCAGCAGCAACAACTGCTCGTGTGAAGACGGAGGAAGTGCTGAGCAGACGGAGGAAGTGCTGAGCAGACGGATGTGACGTGGCATGGAAAAGGCACTCGAATGAGACAAGCGGTGGGGGAGAGACAGCGCAGACATTGACTTGGGTTGCCACCTGTCCTGGTGTGACCTGATTAAAGTCCGATAATTGGCATCCGTGTTCTGGGTGACAGGAAATGAGGTGTGCCCGAGATCTGGTGCCGTTATCGTGTTGAACTTTACGGCACTGTTTTTGATAATAGATCGAGGCTGACCGAGAAATATGACCGAGGTTGGTCTGCAGTGGAACAGTTTGGTGACCCCTATCATTCGACACAGTCATCGACCGTGCTCCGGAAAGTCGAGTGACAGAATGCCTCTGGTGTCGGGGCCAAAGCTCTGCCCAGAGTTCGTGTGGCTTTAGGCCAGTGTGTGAATGTTCTTTGACATAATAGCTGTTTTTGGGATTCTGTGGAAATTCAAAAGAAGTGGAGCCTATCCCTGGCATTCCTGGACACCCTTGCAAACAAGATGTTCCATCTCAAGGGATTTTTTCTAAGTGGAATATATTAAGTGTGTTTTTCTTCTTCTAATGAAACAGGTGGAGAGGACTGTCATGTACTTGAAATGAAGACACGGCATGGATTACAATGGAACTGACACACACCACGCTCCAGTTTTATACCGTGCTAGAGTTGATCTTCTGGCGCAAGAACGGGCCAGTTGTTGATCGACGGGAGAAATTTGGCGATAGTGGCTTTTTAACTGACGTTGGAATTATTTTAGTGATTGTTACATATACGATGCAACTAATCTACCTTATTGGAATGTACACACCTAGTTTAAACGAATGTATACGCTTTTTGAAATATTCCTCGTTTTTGGAACTCGCTTACACTAGAAACAGGCATTTTTTTTTTTTACAAAAAGCCGACGCGCAAATTTGTATTTTGTAAATAACTGTACATGTAATAATAACATCCAATGCGTATTCACTGTATAACTGTATTGATAGTTTCTATAGTGCGCGTTTGTAGATAGACTGGTGGATGCATGAAGCACGCATCACGTTTGCATAATAGGATTGCACACAATGCCGTGTAGATGTTTTTCTTCTGTAGGCACAAAGCGACACTTGGCAGAGTGTCGTGATTGGCGGTACTGGGCAAAGAAAAGATCGTCGACCTTAGGCGCTGTGTGCCCCCCCCCCCTCCCATCTTTTGCAAGGCGACTTTTTTTTCTAGGTGCCGTCAAATCTCGCCACGATTATTGACCCAGTGCTCTTCGTGCGTCCTGTTGGCAGTGTGGAATTGTTGTTTTTGTACGTTTCTCGTCGACGCGCGCTGCGGTGATACGCACGAGACGTGAGGGGCAACCCCAACCCCACCCCCCACTCCCTTGGCAGTTTTGATTTTCGATGTTTTTTTGACCGCACGCATTCCGACACTGCAAACGAATAATAATAATAATAATATCCCTTTCTTGAACTAGCCATGGGGGTGGGTGACTCGGTGGTACAAGCAAGCGGCTCGTAATGGTTAAGGTTGTGGAAATCGAAATCCTGAAATCGAGATTGATAAAAAAAAGAATGAGGACCACGTTGTGGGGAAGTCAACAAGCATGTTGGAATGTGGAATTTCCACCACTGGCTCTGCAGGACTTTTAAACAGGAGATGAACACCAATGCCTCAATGCTCATGCGATCAGGTAAATGACTGACTGGCATTTATATTGCATTAAATGACAAAATAAGATATATTCAACTTCCCACCGGTTTAAGCTCAGGGTAGAGCCAGGGATTTGTACCTAGGACTTCACAAGGGCCGGTTCAGTACTCCGATACATATTGTCGCATCTATGGCACCAGTCACCCGCTCATGACGAACACTTTGAGACTATTTAAAACGTAGTTTCTGAGCACAGGGGTCAAATGCCCAAAATGTCAAGTTTCCAGCAAAAACAGGACCGTCAAAGTTTCAATAGATCAAGGGTTAACACGTTTCTTGCAGCTAGCAAGGTTATTCCAAAGCTGTGCGAGGGAAGAAGCAAAACGGGAAGTGTTTTGACCTACAATTGTGGTGAGTCAGTGGGTGACGCGTGAGTGGCTAAGTGATTGAGTGGCTAAGTGAGTTCGTGAGTGGATTCAGGGGGTGGGTGAGTGTATTGTTGTGGTGACCTGCAGTATAGTGGCTGAACAATGTGGATGAGATGAAACGGTGTTGTGTGGCTCGACAAAGAGTCAAACGTGTTTGGGTGAATCAATGACTGCAGCTCATGGGAGCGGTAACCACGGTAGTAGCGATAAAAGAGTGATGAGGAGGCGACGAATCGCCGGTGAGCGAGTGACTGGACGTGAATCGATGAGTGATGGATCATCAATCACCGTCCGCTGCTTTGAGGTAGCAGGACCTGGCTGTTCCACCACAGATATGCACCAACACGCACACAACATTTACCGTATTCACACCGCGTGTATGGTATTTGTCGGTACTGTTTTACTAATAACGTGAGGCGTTTAGCAAGCGGACATACTGTATTGAATGTACCGTGTGGTACTGGATGTATATGCAGTACAGTATCTCCAGTATACTGTATGTACATACAGTATGTACAATGTACATATTTTCTGTTCATGTACTCTATATATATGAATGTATTACACAATAAACAGTACATATAACTGCATGGTTCCACACTCCTGCCTATAGGAGTTGCGCGATGCCCCTTTGGGTGTATAGGCATATGTATGAATTACATCAGTGTAAAAACTGCTCCATCCCCTGTAAGCATACTAGTGGTCTGAGTATCAGGGGTAGTTCCAAAGTTGACTTATTGTTAAAAACCGTACACTATGTTGAACGTATATAGGCATGCGAGAAATTTCAAGACCATTTTAGTGTTTTTTATTAATGTAAATATGCTGCTAAAAGCAACATCCCATTAAAATGCATGTGATTAATGTATTTTTCCTGAATACGTTAAATAAAGGACTGGCATAACACTCATCCGGCCTCGTAGTTGTGACATGGCAAGCGATGGTCCCGCCGTGCATACCAGATTATGATTCCACGTCCAATTCATCATCGCTTCAAGCAAAGCCGAACTCTTGATGCTGATGAGACACTGAATGTCGAACCTGGTCCGGAGTTTTTTTTGCTTAAACCAATGCTGCTGAAATTATGGTACTCTCAGGAGGGCAGAGGTGGCCAATGGGCTGTGTAAAATAATACTTAAACGTGCGCTTTCATGACCAACATGTATGTCAACTTTTAACTACGGATTTTTCTGTTTTTGCTAAAATTGACATCCCTACACGACCTAACTCAAATGAACCGAATTATGAATCAAAATACTTTTTTATTTATTAAGTTTGTTCGACAGATATAAGAATTAGGAGGCGTGCTTTGTCTGCATATTGATTTTGTTTGCTATATTTTGCACGACACTGATTCATTGGTAATGAGGGAGATGACCCCACCTCCCTGGACTCTGTTGATAAGAAACTCGGGACATGCAGGAGCCTTGAGGTGCTTCACTCACTCCACATTGTAGCTGACTCAATCAAACCCCACTCCACGCCATGTCATGTCGGGCCAGCGGATCCCACTAGCAGCCAAGTGGCCAGTGATGTCTCCCGATTGGCCGTTTGAAGCATTCTGAAATACTACAGGGAATGTTCAATTTGGTAATTGAGGTCAATTTTCTGAGACTGATGCTGGGAGCTCCGTAGTAAGACAGGATAAGCAATGCAAGAAGTTCGGAAGAAAATACGGTGCAGGTGAGTTGCTGTAGCTATGGTGCGATAGAAATTCAACTTACATTCAGCATAAACAGTTGCACTGGATGGAGCCGTGTGTAACAGGATGGGTGCGTCCTATTTCCGAGACCGGCATTGGAGTGGTTTCCACAATTCAGCTGACCAAGGGGAAGAGAAGGCCTAAGAGGCAGATGGTGGGAGGCTGTCAGGACTGTCTCTCGGTCTATGTATGGGTGTCAATTTGAGTCTATGGGTCTGTATGTGAGTCTAAGGCCACACAGTGAGAGGCTGTCAGGGTAGATCTTGGAGCTCGCTGCTTGTCACCCGTGCGGTAGCTGCAGAGGGTGGAACGCGTTTGCATTGAAGTGCGGTGGTCGTGGCATGATGGCGTCTTAATCTTTGATCTTGTTCAACAGCTATTCAGCTGCCAGTATTTGCAGGATGTGCAGGTAATGTCGCAGTGCATGACGCTGCCCGTGAAGGTTGAGACAGCAGCTGCCTGCGCCTCTTGTCACTTGCTGCAGGAGCAATTCACAAAGGGAATTATCCCCTGGCGTGCCTGATTCTCACGGGGGGGTTGTTTCACGTCAACTGTTATGAAACCGCTAACGTGTCCAGGCGTGCAATTACCGTTTACGAAAGTTAGGAATCGGTCATTATCGATTCTAGTGGAATTGGAATGGTGGCTGGCAAAATGATGGTAACTTCATATATGCATACATGAAGGCTAAATGCGCAGCCCTGAAATTGCTTGCTCACGCCACGACTGGCAGCAGGGCCTCTCCTGGAGGGAGCTATATGGAGTGATTGGTCTACTCTTCCACACTCATCGCGGGCGCTGTTGGGGGGAGGGGGGGATTCAGCTGCCGCGCCATGAGATGGGATGGAACGGGCGACCTCTGGATTTGAGGTTCAGTATGCTGACTAATTACAGTATTACATGCCTGTGGCAGCTCAGGACAGTAATACACAGGAAAATAATAAGCAGTAATACAACTGTATAATACAATTTTACTTCTTACAAGCCAAGCCATAAATATGAACAATTAGAAATCGTAAAAGACAATTACAAAAATGTAAACAGCTGGAGGTGAAGGAAAGTGTTTACGTGTTACAATGGGAGTCGGTAAACAGATGAAGGCTGATGACGATTATGATGACACCGTACGAGATTCTTGATTAGGCTGACTGCTGATGGAACTCAACAATGTCGAAACCAGCGGTGGCCAATACACTACGCACTGCGGGCCATTATCGTGGACCTCAACGGCCTCCACGATCCACCAGAGCTCGGACCAACAACCATCACTCGCATCGATGTAACCTTAATAATATATTACAGGTGTAAAGTACTAAGCGCCATCCATGGATAGTTGTTTTTAAGTGTACATTCTTCCTTCAACTGAGGAGCAGCACTACACGAAATCCACACTTGAAAATCTCTCGTGGACAGCAGACCTTGACATTGGCATTTAGCTGATTAATATATTCGCAAACTGAAGAATAGAGAAACAATAATATATGAGGGAATTGCTGTTTGCCATCAGCGGAAACGAAAATTGGTATCTGCTTGTGTTCGGGTTTGTTCTGATCTGAAATCCACGAATTGGCCACCGCTCGTCCAAACCGATGCAGTGGAGTTTTCTCCTTTGCTCATTGTGAATAACATGACGCCTTGAGACATTAGTGGAAGGCGCCTTACAAATAAATGACAATTATTATATTCTTACGCATGGCAGCAATATGGTTTAGAAGCTGGGTGCCAATTTCGAGTTCTGCTAGCCACGATGAGAGGGCTTTTGTCTAATAGTTTCGCTATTCATCCTCTGTTGAAGGAGCGCAGACTCCAGTGGCGTGTTCTGTGGTCCTCAGATGTGTAATGAAAATTGAGAAGATCTATGTCACAGCGACCTTCATGCTCGTAAGTCGTGAGTGGTCGTAAAGAATGTTACGAATAAATTATCAGACAAATTTGCCTTCCATTATCTCTCTCCACATCAAAAACATTTATTTAAAAGTAATAGTTAAAAAACTAAACTTTTTATTTTATTTTACCAGGTAAAGCTCACTGAGCTATACAGCTCTTTTTCAGAAGCGACCTGGCCACAAATGATAGCACAACGAAGTGGCTTACCATGTGGAAACGCATTATTTTAAATGTGGAGGGAAAAACCGGAGGACCCGGAGAAAAATCTACGCAACCACGGGGAGAGACACGCAAACTCCAAATATACAGCAGGCGTCAGGGTCGGGGTAGAATACATGACCTCCTGCATACCAGGCGAGATAGTTAACATCTCTTAGTCACTGTGATGATGATGAGAGAGAGAGACACGCAAACTCCAAATATACAGCAAGCGTCAGGGTCAGGGTAGAATCCACGACCTCCTGTATACCAGGCGAGATAGTTAACATCTCTTAGTCACCGTGATGATGATGATGATGAGAGAGAGAGAGACACGCAAACTCCAAATATACAGCAGCAGGCGTCAGGGTCGGGGTAGAATCCACGACCTCCTGCATACCAGGCGAGATAGTTAACATCTCTTAGTCACCGTGATGATGATGATGAGAGAGAGAGACACGCAAACTCCAAATATACAGCAGGCGTCAGGGTCGGGATAGAACCCACGACCTCCTGTATACCAGGCGAGATAGTTAACATCTCCTAGCCACCGTGATGATGATGAGAGAGACACGCAAACTTCAAATAAACAGCAGGCGTCAGGGTCGGGATAGAACCCACGACCTCCTGTATACCAGGCGAGGTAGTCAACATCTCCTAGCCACCTTGATGATGATGATGAGAGAGACACGCAAACTCCAAATAAACAGCAGGCGTCAGGGTCGGGATAGAACCCACGACCTCCTGTATACCTGGCGAGGTAGTCAACATCTCCTAGCCACCGTGATGATGATGATGAGAGAGACACGCAAACTTCAAATAAACAGCAGGCGTCAGGGTCGGGATAGAACCCACGACCTCCTGTATACCATGCGAGGTAGTCAACATCTCCTAGCCACCTTGATGATGATGATGAGAGAGACACGCAAACTCCAAATAAACAGCAGGCGTCAGGGACGGGATAGAACCCACGACCTCCTGTATACCAGGCGAGGTAGTCAACATCTCCTAGCCACCGCGGCGTGAGTGGTAACGTGGATTGATGGGCGACTGCTCTGTCGAGTCGCTTAGTTACACATCCCATGGGCCACACGGCTTTCCTTCTGGGAGTGCAGCAGCATCAACAACATCATCCGAAGCATTGGTTCAACGCTAGCAAATCTCTGGACCGGTTTCTACATTCAGCGTCTCATCAGCATGCAGTCAGGCTCGCTCGAACCAGTGCTGGTGAACAGCCAGATGTGTACAGGCGACGGTTCCCTGTGCTCATTCTCCAACTATTTTTGTTGATATTTTAAATGCTTAAATTTTGGAAACTTCGTGTGGCGACGTGAATTGACGGGTGAAGATGTGACTGCTCTGTCGACGGCCAGCAACAAACAGCACCGTCAAAGTTGTAACAGGTAAGTGTTACGCGTTTCTTGAATTGGGCGAAGTTATTATATTATAAAAGCTTGGGGGTGGAGATATTGTAGAGGAAAGGAGGGAATTCTAGAGTGGGGCAGTGCGAGGTAAGAAGCAGCAAGAGCTGTTGTGAGTGGGTTAGTGAGTAGGTGTTATAATGAGTTAATTGGTGAGTTAGTGAGAGGGTGAAAGAGTGGGCAATTGAGCGATTGAGTGTGTTGTTGTGACATGTGGTGTGGTGGTTGCGTGGGTGGTTGCGTGAGTGGGTGATTAAGTGGATGAGTGAGTGGGTGATTGAGAGGGTGGGTGAATGGTTGAGTGCTCTTTGTAACAACCTACAGTGTGGTGGTGGTGATGGAACACAACGTGGATGAGGAGAAACGGCGGCTGTTTTGTAGAGAGAGTCCTCAACAATTGGGGGGAAGAATCAAGGAGTGAAGTTCACGATAACAGTAACCACGGTCGTAGCGATAGGAGAGTGATGAGGAGGTTGACCGTCGGTAAGCAAGTGACAGGAGAATCATTCATCACAATGATTGCCTCACAAAAAAAATCACTCAACATGCGGCAATAACACTGTGGCCTTAAACGTAAAATATACTGTATCAAGTCGACGTTTCGGCCAATGTCCCTTCTTCAAAGCACAGAAATGACTGCTTTACGTTCGATGTTATCAAGCGCAGCGAGGTAGGAACTTGGTGCTCCGGTGCACATCAGTG